GGTTATATTTCACTGGGCTTAAAATGGACTATAAAAGGATTATGATACAGGTTAAGGTTTCCTTTTTCTTTTCTTTCCTTTTCCCCCCTTTTTGACTTTTCCCTTTTCAACAAATACAGAAGTACAGTAGCAGAACTGAGTTGTAATTAAATGCAACTACTCTATCTAATCAGCCTTTGTATGGTTGCTGCTTTGGCTGCTGAAAAGTAGAAAATTGCAGAGCAGTCAACTAGGAGCAAAGCTGCTGTTGTAGGGAACAACCTAGACTTACTTCCCAAAGACCGATTCGATCGCACAGGCTTGGCCTTCTCCGGATTCCATCTGCCAGCCAATATTGGCTGGTGACCCCCCGGGGGAGGGCCTTCTCTGTGGCTGCTCCGGCCCTCTGGAACGAGCTCCCCGTGGAGATCCGGACCCTCACTACCCTCCCGGCCTTCCGTAAAGCTACTAAGTCCTGGCTGTTCCAGCAGGCTAGGGGCTGTTGAAGTATCCGGCCTCACTTCAATTGTGAATGTTGCTGTATTTTTAAATTCTTGTATTGTCTTGTATTGTCTTATTTATCCCCTCTCCCTGTTTCATTGTAAGCCACCCGGAGTCCTTCGGGAGTGGGCGGCATACAAAACCAATAAAACTCTAAACTCTAAAAGACTGCTGGAAAGGAAGCTTGTTGTGGCTACTTTGCTCTTTCCTCACTGTAGAACGGGGGACTGCAAACTTGGCAACTTTCCTTGCCAGCTTCCCCACTGAATTCGCTGGCTGATGAATTCTCAGAGTTTAAGTCCCCAAGTCTTAAAGTTGCCAAGTTTAGAGACCCTTGCTATAGAGCAAGATGGGTCTTAAATTGGTAATACAAGGATTGTTTTTGCCTATACAAGACAAAACAAGGATAAACATGTTCCCCACTACACCTGACATGGAGAAAAGCATTCTCATATAGAGTAGATGATATCAGAGGTCTTGCCCCTTTCCCATCATTTGATTGTCCAAGCAAATAGATGAGTAGATACAGCCCCTAAACCAGACGTAATTCTTTACTTCCAGGGCAGCTCAAGAAACATTAACATTTTGGACAGATAGAAAACTATAAATGTGTCGTCCCCCGGTCCCCGTCCCCCCGGCATTGGGAGTAGCTATGTGTTCCTTTGGTGTAGATTTGGAATGGCATGATTTCTTTTTTAAAATGACTTTCAGACAGTTACATCTTTCTTTTTTTTTGCTGCAATCGATTGGATCAAATTTTAGGTGGGTGGAAATAGCTGTTCTTGGTAGGATGCTCCTTTCAGATTCATGCAAGCTGTTGATTTAGCTTTTCCCATTAACACATCCACTCGCCGTATTAAAAAAAAAACCTGTATGCCAGCTGAAAATCCCAGGGCACAAACTAAGAAAACCTTTTTCCCTGGAGATTTGTAAATTATTGAATTGTACTGTATTTTTAATTGAAATTATTTTTAATAATTGCTAATACTTGTTAATTATACATGTACTTTCCAATATACAACATTTAACATATAACATCCAGTCTATTTGAATTCAAAATCACTGCCAGATTATTGTTTAGAGCTACAGGCAGCTGGAACAGTTATAAATATTTGATCAAGGGTGAGTGTTACATTGAATACATTATTAATGGAGTCTGTAAAACAGAGCTTTTCATTTTGGTGGTGCATAATAGAATTAGCAGTAGAACTTAAACTCATCTAACTTTCAAGGTTTGAAGGAGATTTTGAATCGGGGGGTGAATATTTTTTAGTCTTCACATTACAAGCTAAGTTAATTGTAAGACTTTCTGGACTCTGGTATTTTTAATTGTATAAGTAGCCTTCAATTTACGATTGTAATTAAGACCAAAATTACAATCATAAGTCATGCCAGTCATTAAGTGGTCATCACGTGACTGACTTGATTTTACTACATATTTTGTGGTGGTCATTAAATGACTGCCACAATTGTTAAGTGAACATCATCATGGTTGTTAAACAAACACCAGAATCATTAAGTGAACCAGTTATTCACAGTGGCTGTTTTTGGCTAGAGAGCAAAAGTAAATGTCAATTTCTGGCAAAAGAAAATATTATAAATTGTGTTCATGTGACCATGGGACGCTACAGATGGCCATAAATGTGGACTGGTTGTTGAGCACCAAAAATGTACTCACATGACCACATTGGATGTGTGTGTATGGATATTTGAACTCTGAATCTGGATCATAAGTATCTTTCTGGGGGTCCATTGTAACCTCGAACACACTCTAAGCAAGGATTACCCAATTTAGTTTTAGCTAACTTCTTGATCTTGTTTGATGTATTTTCTATGTAACTCCAGTTGCAAGAATCACTTATAAATATTATCTGTTCAAAACTGTCATAGCTGCCAGTTCTTTAATTGGTGTTGGCCTTCATTCACCTTGAGTTCTTCCCAAGAACCTAGGACAGTGATGGCTAATCTTTTTTGGCTCCCGTGCCAAAAGTGGTGGGAGCTCGAGGATTGTGCACAGGTGTGCCATATCCATAATGCTATGTGTGTGACCCCAGCTTGCATGCGCGTGTGACCCCCACTTGCATGCATGCGTGACCAGCGCTCTCCCCTGCTTTTGGCGTACTTTTTTTGCCCTCCCCAGGCTCCAGAAGCTTTCTAGAAGTCTGAGGAGGGTGGAAACATCTCCCTGCTGCCGCTCCCCTGGAGGCCCTCTGGAGGCTTCAGGAGCATCCCTGAAGCCTCAGGAGGACAAAAAATGGCCCTGCGGGGAACCCGGAAGTTCGGGAACTGTGACTTCCGGTTTGTCTGTAGGGCCATTTTTTGACCCCCGGAGCCTTCAGGCGGCTTCCCTGGAAGGCTAAAAATGGCCCTACAGACAAACCAGAAGTCTGTTCCCGAACTTCCGGTTTGCCTGTAGGGACTGTTTTTCGCCCTCCAGAGGCTTCAAGGAAGCCTCTGGAGGGCGAAAAACAGTCCCAAAAGAAGACTGAAGTCAGTTGGCCAGCGCGGGCATGCTAGAACTGACAGGCAACGCCTCGCATGCCCTAACTAATGGTTCCGCGTGCCCCCTGTGGCATACGTGCCATAGGTTTGCCATCACAGACCTAGGATATCATAATATATTGGTGTAGATGTGTAGATCCAAGTAGTATGGTCTTTTGAAATTGACATGGAAATTTTCTCAATGCAGAGATTTTCTAAATGCCATGCAATATTTTTAGCATGACACCCAGTGTGCCACTAGCCATTGAACCTCCACGGCTGGTTTATGTCATAATATTTCTGTTTTCAGTTGATGATACTTGTCCAATTCTGTCCAAAATGTCCAATTCTTTGTCTTGCATTGTATTATCCCCTGGTACAGCCATATCTATTCTTTATTATTTTCATTCATTGACTTCCAACTCATACATGGTACTTAGCTTATAGCATTAAAAATCCACAACTTAAAACCCATAAAGCATC